GAGGGAGGGAGGGAGGAAGGAAGGAAGGAAGGAAGGAAGGAAGGAAGGAAGGAAGGAAGGAAGGAAGGAAGCAGGAGAGATGGCCAAGTGGTTAAGAGCATTGCCTGCTCTTCCAAAGGTCCTGAGTTCAATTCCCAGCAACCACATGGTGGCTCATAACCATCTGTAATGAGGTCTGGTGCCCTCTTCTGGCCTGCAGGCATACACACAGATAGAATATTGTAGACAAAATAAATAAATATAAAAGAAAGAAAGAAAAAAAGAAAGAAAGAAAGAAAGAAAGAAAGAAAGAAAGAAAGAAAGAAAGAAAGAAAGATCAGACCACTAAGTTATTATTATTTTGCTTCTTTTTTTGATGGAGAGGGGAAGGTTGAGATAGAATCTTGCTACATAGCCATAGAGCCTAGTACTATCTATGTAGCAAAGGCTGTCTTTGAACTCTCAGCAATCCTCCTTGTCTCTCAAGTACTAGGATCACAGGCTTTAGAAATCATACTAGGTCCAAATTCTTATCAGCACATTGATAGAAAAATTTTACATATTTTAAGACATTCAAGGCAAGGATGCTCATCAGCCAGAGGCCAGTGCCTTCTAACAGAGAAGCCTTTCACAGGAGCTCCAGAAGTTATAAAACAGTGACTACAGCATCCATAAGGCCCCCTGACAGGGCATACAGATATCCGTGTGGTGATGGTACCTTCTCATCCAAAGCTTTGTGATGCTCAAACAGTGACTTCAGTGCTTTTAACACCTCCACCTCGCTGGACACGCCTGCAGGCGACTGTGCCTGCCTCTTCACCACTGTCATCCGCAGAGAGCGCTCGTGCCTGGACACAAGGCACTCTAGGTGCTCCAGCAACAGCTGCAACAGAGCCCAGCAGGCAATAAAGTGCTTGCCTCACAGGTAAGCACTCCACCCCATAGCAAGGGAAGATGGATTCAACTCAACACAAGCAGAGCAGGCCCCTAAGGTCCCATGATGCTTAACGGACTGATGGCCCACTCTGCAGAGTGAGAAAGGCATAAGCAACTGACCCTGGTGTTGTTCCTCTCTGCCTTCAGTTCAGCGATTTCCTCCTCCCTCTCCAGAAGTTGCTCCCTACACACGTTGAGTTCCTTCGTGAGTGCAGCAAACTCCTAGAGGGCAACAAGCACAAAAGGACTGAATGAACTCATGAGCAAACAGAAACCTCAGAGAAAAGACTCCAAGAGCCTCTACTGCCCCCACCCACTAGAATGCACAAAAAAGATCCTCCAGGGAATGGGGGACTGACTGGCCTATCTGCAGGCTTCCCTAATAACTCAAACCCTCACTAAGCTGTCCAGCTTTCCCTCTCCCTGTTTCCCAGTCAAGACCAGTGGGCACGCTGAATCCAAGCCCACTTCCTCAGCAACCTCAGGAGATCAGGAATGAAGCAAGTAAAGAGTTTTAGTGCTGAAGACATGTGATTTAGAATTATTGGAAACAGAAAAGAAAAAGCCTACAAGACTACTTACTGTCTGGCCTGACCTCTCTGTGGACATTTCATGGCTAGTCTTTTTAGGCAGAAAGTGAACTAACCTTAAAAATTGATTTATCACAAGACCAAACCTTTTGCAGAGAAGTGGAGAGAGCTCCCAAGTTGTCATCCCCATTGCTGCCCCAGGGCACTACTCGCACTGTCTACTGAGTGTTCAGGACATCAGGGACAAGTTGAGTATAAGCCATGAGTTCACAAGCGCCTGCCAGTTTCTCAGTGGAGCCAAGCCCTTTAAAATAATTATCTGAAGTAATGCACCTGCTGTTTCTCTGGGCTTTTTAAAGGAAATGGGAGGCATAATGGCCTGCCTGATACAGAACAAACAGACATTCAAAGTACAAAGAGTGGTTGTTGAGCAATTTTACTTTTAAAAAGCAGTCATGTGAACTGGGCAGTGGTGGCATATGCCCAGGCAGAGGCGCAGGCAGGCAGCCTGGTCTACATGAGTTCTAGGACAGCCAGTGCTACACACAGAAACCTGGGGGTGGGGGAATCATGTTCAAATCACATCTACATCAGACCTTTGCCCCTCAGAACCAACTGACCACCAGTCGCCTGCTCTTGATTCATCAGACTGGCCCAGAAACGCTATCCTATGCCACAAGTCAAGCACAGTCTGTGGATGAAGAAAGACAGTCAACAGTTGAGTTATCTCAAGGGGATCAGTAGGAGGGAGACAGAGGTGATGGAGGAGGGTCATCTGTGTTATTTTCATTGGTTAATAAAGAAACTGCCTTGGCTTTTTGATAGGACAGGATTTAGATAGGTGGAGTAGACAGAACAGAATTCTGGGAAAAAGAAAGCTGAGTAAAGCAGACAATATAGCTCTCTTCTCCAAGACGGATGCAGGTTAAGGTCCTTCCTGGTAAGCCACCACCTCGTGGTACTACACAGATTAATAAATATGGGTTAAAGCAAGATGTGAGAATTAGCCAATAAGAGGCTAAAACTAATGGGCCAGGCAGTGTTTAAATGAATACAATTTGTATGTTGTTATTTCGGGTGTTAAGCTAGCCGTGCGCCAACCAGGCAGGACGAAAAGCAGGCCTGCCTGCAGCTCCTTCTATACAGAGGAGATGGTTGAGAGTGCAATGGTCAATGGGGAGCCGCACAGCATTTATCCCCCCACCCCCCGTGGCTGTGGGAAGCAAGTATCATTTTAACTTATTACTGTCTCTCAGAAGAAATTAGCAATTCTCCTGCAGAAATTGTAGCTGTGGTAATCCATTCTTGGTCTGGCAGCAGGAGTTTGGCCAGAGAGACCAAGAACACCAAGACTAAGCACAGGCTCAGATGGCAATGCCATATGTTGCAGTCCTCAAGGACTTTAAAGGAAGCCCTAAAGCTGGTTCTAAAGAGCACAAAGAAGGTTGGGGAGGGGGAGACTCAGTGGACCCTGGTGCTGTATGGGTTAAGAGACAGGGATTCTAGCACAAGGATGGCTCAAGACTCTACAGAGTGGAATGACTGGGCAGAGCATGCTCTGAAGGGAGAGGAATGGACATGCCTTATTTAAGATAAGCAGACAGCAATGTCAGAGGGGGCTACAACTCCCAGTCAGGGCTCCTGGTATGTTCAGGAGCAGGATACCAGTAGAAGAACAGGAGCCAAGTCCTGGACAGCCAGAAATGCAGGAGCACCAACAAAAGACCCAGATGTCAATGAGGCAGAAGCAATATCACTGATACTGGCAGATGAAGTAGGCTGGCCCATTATGGGAGTGAGTGGTGAGACAGAGGTCAATGGTGACAACAGTAGTTCTGTGTCATGGTAACTGGACTAAAGGAAACAGTACAACAATGACGTCAGAACCAGAAGCAAATCAAGAACAAATAATGCAGAGGCTACATACAGAAAGAAGATCAGCCTTCCAAAAGATAGGACTCTTGTTTACAGATGGCAAGAATCATGGGCATCATTCAGATAAGAGGCCGAGGAGAGAGGCAGAATTTCTTGGGCACAAAGCAAAATCAGAGTTAGTAAAAGGAGAAAAATCCAGATTGGGGAGGCAGGCTGCTGGAGCTCCTTTGGGAACAGAGACAGCTTGAGTTTGGGGATGGTACAGGATGGCCCCCAGGACAGACAATACTTCCAGCACACAGTGGCCAAGAGGGTAAGAGGAGGATGAACACACTGCTGCAAGGAGGGACTCACAGGATTTCAGAGTGGCAAGAAAGAGGGATTGGCTCAAGACTGGATAGGGATGGAAAACTGTCAGCATCTTATGGTCTGAGGTTCACATTCAACAAATACATTTCATCAAGGAGAAGCAAAAAGACACACAGGCAGACTGCACAAGCTACAGGCCTGTTACTTCCTGGGATGAGGGAGGATGACCTGCAGACGCCCTCATTCCCATACAAGTCTACATCCTATGTCATCACCTAGCGTTGCCGCTCCATCTCTCAGCAGCAAAAGCAAACAGCCTGTAAGTTTTTCATTCTTTTTTAAGGCAGGGTCTCACTAGGTAGCCCAGTCTAACCTTGAACTTATGACCCATCTGCTATAGCCTCCCAAGTATCTAGCTTTGGCCTTCATCTTTTTCAAATGTTTGTTACAGGCTTGCTTTAAGATTCCTAAGCTGTTTTGATGTGCTGGAGTTCTCCCCCCACATACACTCCCCACCGTCCCCTACCCGCCCCCTTGGTTCCTCTCTGTGTAACAGCCTTGGCTGTAGTGAAACTTATTCTGTAGATCTGGCTGGACTCCAACTCACAGAGATCTACCTGCTTCTGCTTCCTGAGTGCTGGATTAAAGGTATGTGTCACCATACCCAACTCCATGTGTCCTCTTACCACAGAAGGACTATATTTATTCTGCTATTTCATTACATATGCATATTTACCATAAACTCAACAGTTCAGACCAATGGTGGCACACTGCTCCAGCTACAGAAAACAAACTCACAACACTTGGCATCGTTTTATTCAAAGAAAAAACTTTCTCTTGGCTCAAAAAGATCCAACAACTGAAAATGTTATCAAAGCAAATTTAATTTAGGAGTTTAGATAAACAACAGGCAGGAAATTCCAAAGTAGCAGACTCCAAAACCACATTCTTGCTTGTATCACTGTTACACAAAAAAAAAAAAAAAAAAAAAACTACAAGACCCTCAGCCATGTGCAGTAGGGATCTACACATCACCACATAGGGACCAACTTTTCACATACCCTTTTTCTCTTAAAACAAAATTAATTTCAACCAGGCACATTCAGATACTCCAGGCAACCCAGCACTCAGGTGATGGAAGCAGAAGGATCAGGAGTTCAAGACCATCCTCAGCAATATAGTGAATTTGAGGCCAACATGGGCTACATGAGATCTTGTCTTTTAAAAAATAAAAATAGAAAGAAAGAAAGAAAGGAAGGAAGGAAGGAAGGAAGGAAGGAAGGAAGGAAGGAAGGAAGAAAGACGGAGAGAGGGATTAAAAACAGTATTGCCAGACTAGGGTGATGTGATGGCTTAATTTATAGAGCATTTGCTGCACAAGCACAAGGACCTAAGCTTGATCCTTAGAACCCATGTTAGAAAGAAAAGGCTGGGTGCAGTGGCCTATGTTTCTAAACCCAGTGATAGGAAAACAGAGGCAAGAGGATCCCTAGGGCTCACCTGCCTGGCCAGCCTAGCATCACTGGCCAACCCTAACCAAGAAAGACAAGACAACCTGAGGTTGTACATGACCTTTATACAGACTTGCCCACACATATACACAAGCAAACAGAAAATGATCACAACCTGGTGCTGAAGGTCTGGCCTGGTTGTTAAGAGCACTTACTGCGCTTGAAGAAGACATACATTCACATCCCAGCATCTATATGGCAGCTCACAAAAATAAGTAATATTGTTTTAAAAATACTGTAACCCAAGTATGCTACTTATATTTTTTTAAAGATTGGTTAATTTCTGTATAAATCTAAGCATGTGTCTGTCTGTATGCCACTAATGTGCCCAATGCCTGTGGAGGACAGTAGAGGGCATCAATCTCCTGGAACTAGAGTCAGACAGTTGTCAGCTACCATGTGGGTACAGGGAACTGAATCTGAGGCCTCTGTAAGAGCAGCAACCTCTCCAGCCCCACTTTACTGTCAATGAAAGAGAACAGCAAGCACCAAGGCCATGTCTCTCTACAGGCCACCACCTCCTACCTAACCACTCTCCAGGAGGTGGCACCACTCTCCCCCCCCCATCCACACTACCTAGCTCAGTCCCTTCCACACCTGTGATACATTCCATACTCTATACTCTGCCAGCACCATCAATGGCCTCTTAAAGTTTAAATTATATTTTGTTACTGTGCTAAAAACTTCCATGATTACTCCAGCATTTTTAAAAAGGCATCTCTACCACACAGCACGTCAGAGTCAGTCTGAGGACACTGTGCTGCTGAAAAATAAGTCAGACACAGAAGTACAAATATTGTAGCAAATGTGAGTGTTCTCATCTGCACTGTGCAATTAAAAAAACAAAAGAACCCAAACTGGGTGGAAAAGTTCACCAAAGGCAAAAAAGTCAGTATCTTGTCATTTTAGGACATAGTCAAAAGACAACACAAAACAGTAAAATGCGTCTCAACACAAAAGCCAACCCTCACAACTGACACACTGAAGTGGACATTAC